TCCAGAAGGTGAGGATCCTGACCTTGACGCCGCTTTGACGCTATTGGAGGGGCGCCTCAAGGATGCGCCTCCCCCGGAGGATCATGGGGGTCCCTGGCACGTCCCAGGGAGAGAACGAGGACGAGAAGGCAAGGGCAAGGGCAAGCGTGGTCGCCGTGTTCGCGGGCCTCCTGCTGCTGTCCCTGCTGCTCCACCTGCTGATGTTTGATCTCAAGCATGGGCCTGATCGTCAGAACCGCTATTCGGCCTTCAACTACGATGGCGACGATTTGGATGAGGACATGGAGGATGAGGGAGTCGATGAATCTGCCACCCTCTCCGATGAAGATATGGATACTGCGGAGTGGGATCGCCGTCGTTGTCGACCCCTGCATGACTCGGCTGGAAATGCTGCCTCTGGTGGGGACCGGGCCAGGTGGTCTGAGGATTAGCCCACATCAATGCCCTAGTGGCAGCTCACGGCTCGGGCCCCAGGGTCATACCCCAGCAGCAGGCCAACCAGGTCCGACCGCAAGTACCTCCTCAAACACGGATCAACCAAGGTCAAAGGCACGGCAGCATGACCCTTGCCATGCCGCATGATTATGGGAAGCCTTCTGGTGGTCTTGCGATTTTGATCGGGGCTGGCCTGAACATTGGGGCAAGATTTGTGCATTATGACCTGTCTGCTGTACAGCACCGGCTATGCGCTTTGAAGCTTGCGATCCCTGAACTATCTCCACTGGTCTTGGTTTCCATTTATACGGAGACTCGGGTGGGGTTCAATGCTACGAACTTGGCGCTGCTCTCTACTGTTTCACTTGCTCGCAAGAGACAGTACAACTGCCATTGGTGGTCGCACGAGATTGGAACGCGCTCCCGTCGAGGATTGCTACTACTGAGTTCCCTCATCCATCGTGCTAGCATGGAGCTGGTTGTTTCTGAAACCCCTACTTGCATTAAGAATAAGTCGAAGCGTACTATTGGTTTCTTCATGATGTCCCATGTTTTGTCAGGTATTGCTCAGCGAATCGTAATTGATCGTGTCTATCCTGTTTCGCCGCGCTGCCCTGTAACATTGCATATTGATGTTAATGGTGAAGCTACTCTTCCTGTGCTCTGTAAGTGTCAGCACCTGCCGCACCTGCTGCCCTTTGGCCCCTCTTTACCCAGCCCTGGCTGGGATCAGACGGCTCCTGATACCATCAGGCGGATCCCCACCGGGGCGGACATGCCAGAGCCATATCAACTAATTCCGAAGCGACAAATGAGCTCGGCACGATTGCGGCCCAAAGTGCACATTCAAAAGATCCCTTGCAATCTCAACGACAATCGATGCAGAGCCATCGCCTTTAATGTCAGTTGGAGGCAGAAGCAAGTCATAATGTATTATGTCTCTCTCTCGCCCCACCACCCTCTTCAAGCCTTTCCGTTTGAGAGGACTGCGGGTCATCCAATCTAAGCTCCGCAGTAGGTGGGTCTGGCCAATCAAGCAAGGAAGTTATGAGTCCATCTGGGGCATCCACCTCAACAATTTCCTTGCTAACACTGGCTATAACAGGCTGCTTATCACGCGCGCCCGTCGGCGTACCAAGAGCGTTTTTGTTGTCCTGCAAATCAATTATCGGAGGATCCCTCGGTGGACGCGTCGGAGGTGCAGGAAGGGCACTCGAACTTCCGGCGCCCGGCACTCCCGTCGGCGTGGGAGGCGGAGCATTTCTCATGGAAGGTTTCTATTGATGTTGAATATTGGGCGGAGGCGCCTTCGCCTTTCCCTTAGGCATCCGGTCGAAGTTATCTGGCTCGGCCAATGACTTCGGAGCAGGCCCGGGGGGGGGGGCGGCAGCAGCTTCGGCGCGTTGTCTGGTAGCGGTTCCCCAGGATTCCTTGTCTCCCGGCGGCGGCGCCGTAGGAAATGGGCCCCCTTCATGAGAATCGTCGCCCGACCCTACAGCCGTCATTCCCCCTTTGCCTGCAAGAACAGGCGGAGCTGGAGGTCTGGGAGGTGGTCTCGGCGGCGGAGGCTTCGGCGCCATATGGACATCAGAGGGTGAAGTCGGCTTGGCTGCGCTCGAAGCCAGCACGCCCGCCGGCTGCGCCTGCGGCTTGGCCTTAGCTCCGTCATGGATTTGACCTTCAGCCATTCGCTTATCCCCTTCATTTGCCCCGTCCACAAGCGAGTGTTCAAACTTGAGATGGCACCCGCTGCTTCCCAAATATTCCGATACATTTTCCATCGAACGATTGCATTCCAGGTGCGGCGAAGAATTTTCTTGCCACGCTATTGGAAGGAGTCCGGGGGTCCATTGGCATTCCTGATTCCTGACTTTGTTTATCATGTCAGCTCTCTGTTGGTCTTTCGTCCTCTCAACGTTGAAATCTTTGTCTACAGCTTCGCCGTCCTCCAGCAGGCTTCGCATCGGTGTCCAAGCGCTACCCCCGTTCGCAAAGAACGCGGCGGGGTGCCAAAGGTAAATGCGCACCTCGATCATTACTACCTGATCATCATTTTCAGTGCTTTGCTGCTGTGGGCCACCAACACCGGCAAAAGGATTCGGACAACTCCAAAATATAATATCTACAGTGTTCCAGTACTCATCATTGCTTCCGCCATCGCGCATCTCGTGTGGGTCGAAGGGTTGTCGTCAGGATATGCGGGGGGATAGTTTCCAATGTTTGGCTTCTTGACATTTCCCCCGTGCCCGGGGTCTGAGGGAAGAATTTGGCAGCCTTCCAACGAGTGCACGTAGCGCCCCTACGGATGCTCCGCGGGGTTGCCTTGTCCAGCTCTTGCTTGAAATCCATGCCTCCAATTTGTCCTCTGCCACTCTGAGAGGTAACGTCAATTGGGCGCAGTGCTCCTTATTCCTTATCCGTATGCTCATGAATTGCAGCATTTCTGCCACACTATGCGGTCAACAATCGTTCTCGGTTCACCTGCCACCGAGCGATCACGTCGCGCAACAAAGAACTTCGCCCAATTCGGGATCGCATATTCTGCAGATAGAACTGGTCGCTTCATAATATCTTGAAGAAATGGATCCTCCAACCACGCTTCTCCGCCCGATGGCGCGCGCAGACGTTTGCAGGCGCCACTATGCGCGAATGTTTCACTGTTCTTTATCTTACGCAACAATTCATCATACTTTTCTCCCGGCCAACAATAACTATTGCTGTAAAGGCGATTGGCCAACTCTCTGGCATCCAAGGGCTTGCGGGAAATTATTCTTTCGTATTCCCCAATACCAGTGGTTGTACATTGACGCGGCAGCTCCACGGGCAATCTGCGAGCACTATCTGAGCCAACAGGAGGAGACGTCTTCTTTCCCCTGCCTAGCTGCGCCCCCTTCTGAAACTCAGGGCATTTCTGCTTTATGAAGCGCCCCCGGTAAACCTGGGGGGGATTCAGCAGCCAGCGCCCTTGTAGGCTCAACTGACCGCGCCCGATGCTATTTTGGACTCGTGGCTGTGCCAGGCCCAACCAGCCCCCGGCGTCGCCTGGACTCTGCGCGGCTGCGCCGGCTGTGCCGGCAGAGCCGGCGGTTGGCACCGCTCCTTCTGTGCTGACTTGCAACTGGTCATCTTACCCGGCTGCGGGCTGCACCCTCAAGTCACGCCAAACAATCCGACTATCAGTTCTAGCGGGGGACTGGAAGCAGGATTGCGGTGCCTCCAAAAGCGCCATCGCCTGTTGCATGTGTTGATCGAAGAAAATATGTTCACCGGCGCGCCGTGTATCCCTTCCCTCAGGGGGCATGTCGGGAATGTATGGTAAGCTTCTTTTGAAAAAAGACATGGAATTCGCTCCATTGCACATAGGTATGATGCCCTGGCCCCTTCGACATGTCATCTCGCCGCTCTTGGGAGAACAAGGAATGTCGCGCACCTTGTCCCTTGCCAGTTGGAATGGCCGGGAATGAGCATTGCTGAAGTGGTTCAGCGAACGGGAGCGTTCCCGAAATCGAAGTTGGAGTGCCGTTCTCAGTAGGACACCCATCAGTCCAGCCCGACACATACTCGTCATGGGTAGCTTCTATATTTGCACACC